ATGCAACACTCACGGAGAGACCACCATCCACTTGCAAAGTGTGCCCGGCTGGCTTCAAGTCTTGGACCATTATCGAGGAATGTAGACCACCAAACTTTCTGACATGGATAGAAGATGTGGCAAATTTAGTTTCAAAGCAAAATTTTGAGCTTTTCCTTATGATTTGCTGGTCGTTGTGGGGCGCAAGGAATGGCAAGCTATGGAATGACAGGACGGACCATCCTGATGTTCGTGTCAATTGGGCTACAATGTGGTGGCATGAGTTCGTTTGAACCTCGGTGATAGGTCACGGTACTCAAGTACAAATTCTCTCCAAGTGGGTTGCTCCACCGTCGGGGCGTCTCAAAATGAACATTGATGGGGCCTGGAACGGGGAACGAAATGTGGCCGGTTTTGGTGCCATTGTCTGCGATGAAACAGGTAATTTTGTGTCGGCAAAATGTGGCAGGGAAGAGGATGTTTTTTTCTACTCTCCAAGCAGAAGCAATGGCCTTAAGGGCAGGTTTGTCTTGGGCAGTTCACAGGGATTTTCTGTTGGAAAATATTATTATTTTGGTTTATTTGAATTTTTGGTTTTCTGGGCTTAGCCCGTTAGAATTAGGTTTTGTTAGAGATTAGGGTTAGGTTATTATAAATAGGATGCTTTGTTATTCATTAGAAATCAAGTTAGTCACAATGTAACCTCTTAGGGTTTGTAGCCGTTCCGGCGTTCTTGTTTGTTTAATAATATTCCTATTATTTTGTATTCTTGTTCGTTGCGCACTCTGATATTCAACTTGGTATCAGAGTAGGTTAAATCCTTCGGGAATTAATCTGTTTTGGGGGGGTTGATATCGATCTGTTTGTTCAGTATCAAACTATCAGTTTTGTTTTAGTTCGGGTTTTGTTGTTTGAAAACAAAGAAAAAAATTGAATCTGTTTGTTTGGGACTTGGGACGCACACCGCGCTGAACCCAGAACCCCAAACTCGTTACGTCGTTCGTTATCTGCCAAAACCCAAACCTGCACCGAAGCTGCCGTTGGCATCCACTCCACTTCGTCATCGAGCTGCAAACCCGCCATCATGCCCACCAGAATAACATCGCTACTTACTGCCTGACCAACCCTCTACCATGTAGCCGCTTGATCATCGTACCAGACCATCACCATCTCGCTGCCGCCTGGAACCACCTGCCTGTTGAACCTGTAAACCTGTCCGCTGACCCGCATGCTTGTTCTCACTCTCACCCAGACCCGTGAACCCAATATGTACCCTACCGCTGCAACTAGAAACCCAGCACATCTGCCGTTTGTCTCCAACACCAGCCGCATCACCACTTCGTTCCCTGAACTGCTGCTGCGTCTAGACCTGCACCACCTCGCCATCCTGCACCCAGTCTGAAACACTTGATGACGCGCACTTGAAGTTGCTGCCTGCGCGCCGCGTCGGATCGGATCTAATGAACCTCCCGCCGCCTTGGACCCAACTCTGTCATGCGGCTAAACCTGCTGTGCTTGTTTTGCAAGTATGAAGAAGACCAGATCTTTGGAAATGGAAGTAAGAAAAAAAAAAAGGAAAAAGAAAGAAAGGAAAATAGAAGCAAAAGGAAGTGAAGAAAAGAAAAAAGAAAAAATTGTTGCTGTTTGTTTTAGGCCCTCAAGGGCAAGGTAAAAAAAAAAAACATGGTTAAGTTTGTGTTTGGGCCACACAAGTGATAGTATTTATGTTTGTTCGTTCGTTCGTTGCTACAATTGGGATATGAAAATCTCGTTCGTTTAGTGACAGGTTATTTCCATACTCTCAACACTAGCCAGTTTAAATCAGATTTAGTTTGCCAGCAAGAATCAAGAATCAGTTAGCCAGTTCGCCAACCCTGCATGTCTGTCTGTCCGCGTTGCGGAGCCTGCATGTCTGTCTGTCCGCGTTGCGGAGCCTGCCTGTCTGTCTGTCCGCGAGCCTGCCTGTCTGTCTGTCCGCACTGCGGAGCCTGCCTGTCTGTCTGCGTTGCGGAGCTTGCCTGTCTGTCCGCCTAAAGGAGCCAGTTCGCATCTGCTTGTTTGCAAACCCATGTCGTATACCGTCATGAGTTTGACAGGGGGTGTTGGAAAATATTAGTATTTTGGTTTATTTGAATGTTTGGTTTTCTGGGCTTAACCTGTTAGAATTAGATTTTGTTAGAGATTAGGGTTAGGTTATTATAAATAGGATGCTTTGTTATTCATTAGAAATCAAGTTAAGCCCAATCTCTTAGGGTTTGTAGCCGTTCCGGCGTTCTTGTTTGTTTAATAATATTCCTATTATTTTGTATTCTTATTCGTTGCGCACTCTGATATTCAACTTTTTCAATATATTTCTTTCGAAAGCAATTCACGTCAGATTGTGGAGGTGTTGTGCAATTTCTCTCCAAATTTGTCATTCAGTGGACAAATTGTAGAAGATATCAAGGTGCTCTCCATTCAATCACCGAAGATAAAATTACCCACACTCGTCACCAAGCAAACTTGGTTGCTCATTGCCTTGCACAGGTTGGTCTCTCGGTGCAACAAGATTGTATATGGGATGTTAATCCCCCAAGTATTGTCACCGACTTACTTGTGGAGGATAATGTACTGCCATAACTGGCTTTGGATGTAACTCTTGTACCGCACCTTTTTCGAAGTAAATGAATCTACTACTGTATCTTTAAAAAAAAAAAGAAAAAAAAAAGCTTAATGCCAACCCTTTTTTACGCACCCTTATCACTTGGAATTTTGTCATGCTCCTTGGCTAAAGCTATAACTTGACCTAATATGTTCGATTTTTTCGGTTTTCTAGTCATGCTCCTCGGAATTTTGACAACAATTCTATGATCAATTACGACCTGTTCTCCATTTACTCTCAACAGATTAGCAACTACCAGGAGACATCGTAGTATTCTTATACTGTTTTAGATTTTTCTATACTAATATTGTTAATGATTTCGGACCACACATGAATTAGATTTGAAATCTCCAACCAAAAGACTCTTTTGACTAAAGACTTGAAGGACTTCTGTTGTATCATATATTGGGCCTTATTATTTAGGCCTCATGACTTAGCCCATGATGTATGTAGGAGGTGAAGGAAACCCTTATTTTATAAAAGGGATCCTTCACCCTCACTTGAAGGGGGAGGGCAAAAAGAATAGCAAAGAGAGCAAACCTTAGCATCTATCGCCATGTACATTGTAACCCTCAATTTACATAGTGAAACCGGATCGACACCAGTGTGGACGTAGCCCCAACTTGAGGTGAACCATGATATATCTGTGTTCTTGTGAGTTTGTGTGATTTACGGTCGGATTTACGTTGGTCCAAGATTGACCTGATTTTGTGCATCAACAAATATCATATCTGAGAGCTTGCAATTTTACTATATAAAATAACTGTCTTCTCCCTAATAAACAACATCAAATTATTTTTCATAGATAAAGAATACATAATCTTATTAGTTATCTTGTTTTTTTGACACACAATAGCATTAGTGAGTTAAATAGTTATTAGAGAGGAGAATAGTGGGGATTAAATGCATACCAGGATGCATAGACAATGATTGTTTTCCATCACTACGGTAAAATGTCATTTCCTATGAAAGACACATATACTTGATTGAGAGTCCACGAGCTAATCATGCTCTAATAACCTTAAATATTCGGAACTAAATCAAATATTTACCAACTTCACCAGTTGTAGTTTTCTCCGTCATAACAAGCAAGTTTAAAGGGTGCAAAATGTGACTATTTTGGATGTCATTTCGGTTTTCAGCTATCTAACGCCAATTTGTTGGAATAGAGTAAGAAAATAGCACTAAACTCGCACAAATTGGTGTTGTTGCATACACAAGAGTTTAAAAACTCTCTACTTTTGCTCACTAATGAAAGGCCGATTGATAATCAGTGCAAAAACTTGTAACTCAAGTGATTAACATTACTCTCTCTCTCTTGTACCAGAGGTCCTATATTCGAATTACTGCTTATATAAATAAAAATGGTAAGAACTAATCTGATATTGGTTCCTGGCCTGATCCCTTAAGCTGTTGACCTATAAAGTACCCAAAAAATATATGTAGATTTGATTCCATGAGGTGATTTACTCCCAGGTTCAGTTTATGCCTAATTGTCCCTTGATTCAAACCAATAGAAAGTAGTAGTATTCAAGTGAAGGCATGCATGTCGTGTGGTTGACTTCACGAACATTCATTTTCTAGTGTGAAATTGGCCAATGGGGCAAGTTGCAAGAATATATATAACTCCATTGATGGTTGTAAAGCACTAGCAATTATCAAATAAATAAATAAGATGAAGGCAGACAATGCAGTATTCGCGGTCATTTTGTCGAGTGCAAAAATGGGTGCATTACATCACATGAATGAACCAAACAGTGTCTGTATCATAAGAGACCTTTTCCAGTTGATTTGGCTCGAAGGGCTTGCTACTGCTTAGGCACTTCTGACAACTCATTTTAATTCATTGCTTAGTTTATATTGAATCACTAAAAAAACTTGTTGCGTGACGGATCCTGCAAGTGTCCACTACTACATTCAAACTATAAATTGATATTGTACCAACTTAGACTCCATACCCTAGTTAAAAATCAACTTTTCAATTCGAAGTTATTGCTGTACTCTTTCAACGTGAGATTCTTTGCATCGTTATTTTAATCTTGTATAGAGCCAAACTTTACCAATAAAACTCATTTATAATCAGATCGGAAAACAAAGGGAAAAGAAGAAAAAACTTGTATTGTCAATAGCTATTTCTCTAATTCACAATCACCAAACCCAAAAGCATTGACCAAGATATAACAATTCCGGAAAGCATTGAAGAGGAACACACGTTCATCTTACTAAACTTAGAATTTATACTACTAAAAGATAATACTAAACTCCCACTTGATAGATTCGGTAATTATATAACAAGATCAACCAGAAAAGGGGTAGCTAACCTGGCTATATATATATCAACATTTCATTTGTGAGGTATAAAGAGAAAGAAGCAATGGAGTTCTTAGGCAGCAAAAGTGTTTTGATCGTTCTGGTAATCCTTGTATCTGCTTCTGTTCTGGTACAAAGTGAGACAGATCTTAAGGTTTGCTACAGCAAGAAAAGCCCGTGCTTTCTCAAGCAGGTATACTGCCCTGCGGAATACCCATCCTTCACCGATAGACAAAAAGGCTAAAATTTGCTATCTCAACTGTGACTCACCTATATGCAAAGCTGAGTGCAAAGGTAAGGTTACGACTTACTGTCATGTGTTCATAATGTTATCTCATGCATGTTAACATTTCAGAGTTGGGCATGCAATCCACCGCTAATTACATCAATATTGTCCCAACTTAACTATCTGCAACTCACAAAAGGCCTCGATATAGTAGCGGAACTATTCATTTATAAGTAGTAATATATTCCGTCAATCATCTGATGTGAGATTGCATTCTTCAACAATGCACTCCAATTTTTATTTTGTTTCGAACGTACGTGCCTCGGTTAAAATCATTGCCGATGCTGACAAGGGTTTTTGTTTGTTGTTGCTGGTAATCGTAGGTCGCAAACCTAATTGTGAAGGCCCCGGATCAGCATGCATGGACCCTCGCTTCATCGGTGGAGATGGCATTGTCTTTTACTTCCACGGGAAGAAAAATGAGTATTTCAGCTTAGTTTCTGACCCCAACCTCCAAATCAACGCCCTGTTCATTGGTCTCCGCCCTGAAGGCTGAACCAGGGACTACACTTGGATTCAGGCCCTTGGACTCCTCTTTGGCTCTAATAGCTTCTCCGTAGAGGCCAGCCAAGCATCGTCATGGGATGATGAAACAGACCACTTAAAATTTACTTACAATGGAGAGGAGCTAGTCATCCCAGAATCCCAACTCTCCGCATGGCAATCTCCGGAAAATGCCATTAGAGTAGAGAGAACATCTAGCAAGAACAGTGTTTTGGTCACTCTCCAGGAAGTTGCTGAAATTTCAGTAAATGTGGTGCCTGTGACAAAGGAAGATGATAGGATCCGCAATTATCAGATACCATCAGATGACTGTTTTGCACATCTGGAAGTACAGTTCAGATTCTACGGCTTATCCTCAAATGTTGAGCGAGTGCTTGGAAGGACTTACCAGCCAGATTTCAGGAACCCGGCAAAGCCAGGAGTAGCGATGCCAGTTGTGGGAGGGGAACACAAGTACAGAACAACTTCACTGGTCTCCGTAGATTGCACTGCTTGTGTTTTCACTAAATCCAGGAAGATGGATCAAACAGATTCAAGGGTGATGAATTACGGAAATCTTGACTGCACCGGTAATTCCTTCAGTGGGAATGGAATCGTTTGCAGGAAGTAAATGATATTGCTACAAGCTCAGGGAATAAGTGTAAATTTAACTTCTCAGATGATAATCTAAAGATGTGTAATCAAGAGGTTTGAAAACCTTCTTGCACTCATATGTTAATTAATACACATAATGCTGATATAATCAGTAATGCCAATCTTCTTGCACTCGTAACATTTGACAACGCGTTTTCAAAACCTTGCGCCGAAGCTGGATGAAAGTCTCTGTATCCTTTTTCTCCGGCTACTAGCATTAACATCATCATAATGCAGCATTACAATAATTTCACCACGCTTTCACACCCAAACCCGTTGTCAGCATATGCACTCTATTAACACTGGCTCAAGCCCCGTGGAAAGGCTTCAGTAAATTCACGTATTATACAAGTAGGTTCGTATTTTTTAAGAATACTTCATTTTTCATACATTGTCTTAATGATTCAAGAAATTGCATGTTAAAAGTCCAACATATTTTTCACGTTTAATACACGTTGTTAGACACTTTTTCAATACTACACATAAAATTCATGTATTTTTAAATTATTATTGAAAAAACAAAAAAAAAATATTAAAATTTAATAAAAATGGCCGAAGTTTTCAAAAGATATTTTAAAGAAAGTTGCCGAATAATACGTATTTTTCATATACTATACCCGTTTGGTATTTTACTAACTATGAAGGTAGCTTTCATTTGTTGCTCTCTTATTTATCAGTTATAATGAAAAGGTATCGAACCCTTGACCTAGGCGACAACACTTCTCTACCCACCCTTATCTGTTAGAGACTAACCCAAAGGCTCAAGCTTTCTTTGATGATGTTTCCAAGTGTTGAATAAGTGGCCAAGTGGCCAAGTGGAGAACAAAACAAAAAAAAACTTTTGGCTATTAAACAAATCAAAAGAAAAAAAAGGACAACATGATTATGTTTCTTCCTTGTTTTGGGGAAAAGAAAAGTGCACTTTGTCTAAAGTTTTTTTCTTTGGTCCATGTGAGAAGTCACGGGACTCCTAGGGTTTTTAACTAGCAGCAACAACTGCCTTTTGGTGTGGGAAAAAAGGCAGTCGTATAGAAGAAGAAAATAGGAGGGAGCAGCAGAAAGAAGAAGAGAGGTACGCAGCTCCCATATAAGAAAGAAAGGTGATTTTCTTTCTTGGTTAGTTCTCACTAAATCAAAGTTGTATTTGTGTATTAGCTTTGAGCTTCGTATAGAGAAGAAATTATTCATTATATTTCTCTCTATTTGTTTCTTTGGTGTGTGAGAGCTATTGGTTGTATTGGGGTTTTGGGTTGTGAGCTTGCCAACACTTTGTAAACTTCCATTTGGTTGATAGTGGATTATTGGGTGAGCTCCTACTGCTCCGAGGACGTACTCCAGTTACACTGACTGTTGAGGAACCTCGTTAAAATCTTGGTGTCTTTAATATTTTGTTCTTGCATTTCATTTGACATATTTCTTGTGGGTTAGCTTGAGTTGGTTCCAAAAAGGTTTGGTGCTATCCTAACACAACAATTGGTATCAGAGCACTGGTTGCTCTTGGGTACTGTCTAGTTGCCAAAGATGTCAGACGGGCAAGATGAAAATCCTTTTGGAAGCAGCTCCGGGTTTGCAAGAACTACGGTGCAAAATGCAAAGTTCGAAGTAGAAAAGTTTGATGGCACAAACAACTTTGGGATGTGGCAAGGTGAGGTCAAAGATGTGTTGGCTCAACAAGATCTACTTGCCGCTTTGGGAGAGAAGCCGAAAGCTATGTCGAAGCCGGAATGAGAGAAATTAAATTTGTGGGCTTGCTCTTTAATTCGGTTGTGCCTTAAAAAAACTCAGAAGTATTTTGTGATGCGGGAGACATTAGCAAGTGTGTTGTGGCAAAAATTGGAAGACAAGTATATGACGAAGAGTGCAGAGAACCGGCTACACTTGAAGAAAAAGCTCTACCGCTTCCAATACAAAGAAGGTACAAAAATGATTAGACACCTTGATGCTTTTAATAAGTTGATTGCCGACTTGTTAAATTTAGATAAGGATATTAAGGATGAAGATAAGGCCTTAATATTGTTGAATTCCTTACCGGACTCTTATGAGCATTTTGTTACCACTATTATGCATGGTAAAGAAACTGTGAAATTTGAAGATGTGTCAAATGTCTTGATGAATTATGAAATGAGGCATAGAGATAAAAACCATGATAGTACCTCTGAAGCTTTATTTGTTAGAGGTAGATCATCGGAGAGAAGATCATCTTCTAGTAGGAAAAAATCACAGTCTCGACCTAGAGGAAACTCTAAAGGTAGAAAACCTTTGGAAAGGGATGAATGTGCCTTTTGTCGTAATAAGGGCCATTGGAAGAAAGATTATCCTAGATTGAAGACCAAAGGCAAAGAAAGTTCTGAAGCTAATGTTGCTGAGGTTGAAACAGATTTTTCTGATTTTGCTTTAACCACTTCCTCATCATTTGATTGTGCTACTAAGTGGGTGTTGGATACGGGTTGTACTCATCATATGACTCCTCACAAGGATTGGTTTTCAAGCTTGAAAGAGTTTGATGGTGGCGTTGTGTTCATGGGAGATGACAATCCTTGCACAACAAAAGGGATTAGTACAGTTCGTTTGAAGTTGCATGATGGCATAGTTAAAAAGTTGACAGGTGTTCGGTATGTACCGAATTTGAAGAAAAATCTTATTTCTTTAGGTACTTTGGAATCCAAGGGCTTCAGGTTTTATTCAGATGGACATACATTGAAAGTTACTTATGGTGCACTTGTTGTGATGAAAGCTCCTCGATGTGGTCATTTGTATTTATTGCAGGGAAGCACTGTTACAGGTGAAACATCTGTAGTCTCTGAAAATATGGGCACATCTGATTCAGATACTACTAGACTGTGGCATATGAGATTAAGCCATGCCGGTGAGAAAGCTCTACAAGGGCTTGTGAAACAAGGTCTTCTAAAATATGCCACGACTTGTAAGCTTGATTTCTGCGAGCATTGTGTCTTGGGAAAGCAAACTAGAGTAAAGTTTGGTACTGCAGTACATCAGACGAAAGGCATTCTTGATTATGTGCATTCGGATGTTTGGGGTCCTACAAAGACTCCCTCTTTGAGTGGTAGACATTGGTTTGTGACCTTTGTTGATGATTATTCAAGAAGGTCTTGGGTCTACACTATGAAGAACAAGAGTGAGGTGTTAAGCATTTTCTTGGGTTGGAAGAAAATGGTTAAGAACCAGACTGGAAGAAAGATTAAGATTTTGAGATCGGATAATGGTGGTGAATACACATCCGACCCTTTCTTTAAAGTTTGCAAAGAGGAAGGGATTGTGAGACATTTTAGTGTCCGGGGAACTCCACAACAAAATGGAGTTGCAGAAAGATTGAATCAAACCTTGCTTGAGAAGGTTAGATGTATGTTGTCTCAGTCGAGTTTAAGCAAGTCATTTTGGGCAGAGGCAGTTAATTATGCATGTCACATCATCAACCGGTTACCCTCAGCTGCTGTTCAGGGTAAGACACCAATGGAGGTATGGACTGGGAAACCTTCTACTGATTATGATTATATTCGTATTTTTGGTTCACCTGCTTATTTTCATGTGACTGAAAATAAACTTGATCCTAGAGCCAAAAAGGCTATCTTTCTTGGTTTTAGTAGTGGTGTCAAAGGTTACAGGTTGTGGTGCCCAGAGATGAAAAAACTTGTAATCAGCAGAGATGTGACATTTGATGAAGAAAGTATGTTCAAAAACTCTGAGAAGAATGTGAAAGATGTCCAACAGGTGGAGCTTGAGAAAGTTGCCTCTGGTACTTCAAATCCTATTTCCGCTGATGTCGAAGCCACTACAAGTGAAGAAGTTGGAGACCATGAGGATGTTGAAGAAGTTGAACTTGAAGATTCTATTCAAGTTGAAGAGCAAGTTTCACCTCAAGAATCTATTGCCAATAACAGAGGAAAAAGACAAATTACCAAGCCAGCTCAGTATAGTGACTATGTTTCTTTTGCTCTTCCTATTATCACTGATGAGATTCCATCCAATTTTGAGGAAGCTATTGAGAGTGAAGAAAATGAGAGGTGGTGCAATGCCATGGGTGATGAGATGAATTCTCTCTTGAAGAACAAGACTTGGGAGTTAGCTAAATTGCCTAAGGGCAAGAAAGCTATCGGTTGCAAATGGGTGTATGCCAAGAAGGAAGATGCTGATGAGAAAATCAATGTGAGATTCAAAGCAAGATTAGTTGCTAAAGGGTATGCACAAAAGGAGGGCATTGACTACAATGAAATCTTTTCTCCGGTTGTGAAGCACTCCTCAATTCGCATTATGTTAGCTCTTGTTGTACAATATGATCTTGAGCTTGTGCAACTTGATGTGAAGACAGCTTTCCTACATGGTGATTTGAATGAAGAGATCTATATGTGTCAACCGGATGGGTATATAGTGAAAAGGAAGGAAAATTTGTTTTGCAAATTGAAGAAATCACTTTATGGCTTGAAGCAATCTCTAAGGCAATGGTATTTGAGGTTTGATAAATTTATGAGAGGCCAAAATTATTTTAGAAGTCAATATGATCATTGTGTGTACTTTAAGAAGTTGCAAGATGGGTCTTTCATTTATTTATTGATATATGTTGATGATATGTTGATTGCCTCAAAGAATGTTGAAGAGATTGAGAAATTGAAGAAACAAATGAAGAACGAGTTCGAGATGAAGGATCTTGGTGAAGCGAAGAAGATCATTGGCATGGAGATCACTAGAGATAGAGCAAAAGGTTTCGTCAGTTTGAATCAAAGACAATACCTTGAGAAGTTGATTCGGAAGTTTGGAGTTCATGATTCAACCAAACCGGTTAGTACCCCTTTGGCTCCTCATTTTAAATTGAGTTCTCTACAGTGTCCTAAAACTAATAAAGAGAAGCTGCAAATGAAAAATATACCATATGCAAATTTGGTTGGTAGTTTGATGTATGCAATGGTATGCTCTAGACCGGATATTGCTCATGCAGTTGGCATGGTGAGTCGATATATGCATAATCCAGGTAAAGAGCATTGGCAAGCAGCTAAGTGGATATTGAGGTATCTTCATGGTACTCGAGACGTTGGTTTATGCTTTGAGAGAGATGACTCTAGTATTGGTCATTTTGCAGTTGGTTTATGTTGATTCAGATTATGCAGGTGATCTGGATGGAAGGAAGTCTACTACAGGCTATGTGTTTACTATGGCTAAAGGACCAGTTTGTTGGAGGTCCATTTTGCAGTCGTTTGTTGCCTTGTCTACTACAGAGGCTGAATATATGGCAGTTGCTGAAGCTATAAAGGAGACCATTTGGATACATGGGCTGATTAGAGATTTGGGGGTTGATCAGAAGCAGGTGGAGGTACATTGTGATAGTCAGAGTGCCATTTATTTGGCTAAGTATCAGGTTCATCATGCGAGGACCAAGTACATAGATGTACGTTATCACTTTGTTTGTGAAATTGTTGGTGAAAGAGAAATCATTCTCCAGAAGATTTCAACTAAAGACAACCCCGCTGATATGTTGACTAAGGTTGTTGGTGTAGCCAAGTTTGTTCATTGTTTGAACTTGGCTCACATTTTGCCTATATAAAGAAGGCGTTGAGCAGTAGGAGTTTTGGAGCATTTGGCTCGACATGAGTTGTTCTCTTGCTAGTGTTTGGGAGTGATGTTGTGTGTTAATTGTGTTGGTTGGCTTATCATGGCGTTTTTCGGAACTTGGCCAAGGTGGAGATTGTTGAATAAGTGGCCAAGTGGAGAACAAAACAAAAAAAACTTTTGGCTATTAAACAAATCAAAAGAAAAAAAGGACACCATGATTATGTTTCTTCCTTGTTTTGGGGAAAAGAAAAGTGCACTTTGTCTAAAGTTTTTTTCTTTGGTCCATGTGAGAAGTCACGGGACTCTTAGGGTTTTTAACTAGCAGCAACAACTGCATTTTGGTGTGGGAAAAAAGGCAGTCGTATAGAAGAAGAAAATAGGAGGGAGCAGTAGAAAGAAGAAGAAAGGTACGCAGCTCCCATATAAGAAAGAAAGGTGATTTTCTTTCTTGGTTAGTTCTCACTAAATCAAAGTTGTATTTGTGTATTAGCTTTGAGCTTCGTATAGAGAAGAAATTATTCATTATATTTCTCTCTATTTGTTTCTTTGGTGTGTGAGAGCTATTGGTTGTATTGGGGTTTTGGGTTGTGAGCTTGCCAACACTTTGTAAACTTCCATTTGGTTGATAGTGGATTATTGGGTGAGCTCCTACTGCTCCGAGGACGTACTCCAGTTACACTGACTGTTGAGGAACCTCGTTAAAATCTTGGTGTCTTTAATATTTTGTTCTTGCATTTCATTTGATATATTTCTTGTGGGTTAGCTTGAGTTGGTTCCAAAAAGGTTTGGTGGTATCCTAGCACCACACCAAGAGCTCATATACTATCCTAAATTTTTCCGGTTTTCGTTTTGGATAATACTAAGGAAACCATCTATTTAAGTTAGATTTTTTAAAATCATATGATGTGGTTATCGATGATTGGATCATTATCTAAGTGTTAATTTACGTGCTTATTTCCTATTAATGACCACATAATTTACAAATTTGATCTAAAAATTTATGACTCCTTTTTTTCCATCATTTACGACTTGTTCTCCATTTACTCTCAATTGATTAGCAACCCCGAGGAGCTGCTAAATTTCTAATAAGCAACTACATCTACTTCCTAATAAACAGCAAACTTAATACTAGTAAACCCAATTTTAGCATTTAATTTAACTGGCTTCTCCCTAATAAATAACTTCATCTACTTCTTTTTTATAAATAACGAATAAAATACTTATATCTTTCTTGTTCATTCCACTCATTGATTTGTTTGTAAGAATTAAAGATATACTTAATTGAGACTCCACTCCACGACCTAAACAAATATTAGGAACTAAATAAACAATTAACCGACTTCGCTAGCTGTTCTTTCCATCAAAACAATGAAGTTTGAGCTAGAGTGCAAAATGTTACTATTTTGGTAGCATTTCAATTTTCAACTCTCTTAAGCCAAGTTGTGGGAATAGAAAATAGCACTCAAACTCACAGAAGAGGTGATGTTGCATACATAAAAAGAGTTTAAAAACTCTCTACAATATTGTTCATTAGTGAAACGGCCGGTGAGCAACATATACAACGAATTTGTAGCTCAAGTAGTTAACCGTGCTTACTTTTGTATCTAAAGTTTTGTGTTTTAATCAACTTTGAGTACAATGCCTTCTGCTGTGGGTTATCAACCCTAAGTACTGAAATGCGTACTTTACAAGAAAGGACTATTTCTATGAAAGAGGGGTCTATAACTTCTATTTAAGCAGTTTATGTGCCTGCGGACGCTTTGACCGATCCTACACATGCATTTTCACGTTTAGATGCTAGTACAGTACAATCAAGAGGATTAGCTGCCAAAGATATTTATCCAGAAAGATCTTTTACATTCAACATATATCAAAAAATGGTGAGCAACCTACGAATGTTAAGACACTGGTTTCAGGCCTAATACCTCAGGCTTTTGACTTATAAAGTACCAAAAAAAAAAAAAATTAAGTATGCTAGATTTGAATGTATGTCTTTTGCTGGACTTCATGAACAAATTATATTCTAGAAAGCAACTGGCCAATGAGGAAGTTCAAAGAATGTATATGAATCCGTCTCCACTGATATGGTTGTACACAGACAATGCAGTTTCCATGGCCAGTTTATCGGGTGCAAAATAGGTGATTACTTCACATGAGTGAACCAAACCATGTCATTGTTAATACTCTACAGAGACCTTTTCCAGTTGACTTGGCTTGAAGCTTGTATGGCCATGCCTTGGGCAGTCCTCCACAATACACAACCCATTTATTTCAGGAGTTATTCATTAACAAAGAATCGTCTATCTATTTATTACAATTGATTGATGAAACAATCTTGAGGTTTAATCGATTTTTTGGAGTTATTTATAATATGAAAAGTTTGGATTCTAAACATGAAGTTCTATGAATTGGCTCTTGAAATAAGAGTATAAATATCCTAAAGGCCACTCCAACTAATATTGAAGTCTTTTGTGATAAAATTCTACACATGTCGGATTGTGCATGTAATTAACAAGTTGGGGATAATATTAGTGTTGTTGGAAGTAGGCGTTTGGCCTATCTCTCTGATAATTTAACATGGTATAGAGTCAGGGAGCAGGTTCGTATTGCTACACGATGGGTGGGTCCCCTTGGCCCCGAGTGATGATGGTGGTCCCTTGGCCCCTCGTGTTGGGTGGGTCCTCTTGGCGCCATGTGGTTGCGGATGTGTGGATCTCCCACATTTGACCCACTAAGTCAATTGAGGAGAAACTACTTAATCTTGAGGAGCCAAGTATTTTAATTTAATTCATAGCTTAGATCACATTCAATCATCACTGAAAAACTTATTGTGTCATGGATTTTACAATTCAATACTAAGTTTAAACCACGCACCTAGAACCAGCATATGTAGATGGTGCTACCACACAGAACTCCAAAAATTCATTTGGTGCATGTATATATTATATCAGTAGTATATTACTTATCCAATTCGCGGGTACAAAATAACAACTTGATAGTTTCCTTTTTCCTCTCAAAAACTTATTTTGTTATCAGTCGAATATTATGCACTAATAGAAGAGAATTTAGTATAACAAGTAGCTGGTTTGATTGGTTTAGTTGTTTTAATTTGCACCACAGCCATATTATTTTGTATGCTTGTTTTCTTTCATTATTTGTTTTCCAAAACATCAAAAAAAATTCAAATGTTATGTTAAACTATACTTTATATGTAAAGATAATAAACTTCTAATTTGTTAACTGATTAAAGTTTGATTTTTATGTTTTCATATTTATGACCATGTCTTCCAGTGATTGACAAAACTAATTTTTTTCCCTTCGTGCTTATATGTAGCTACTTTTTATCTTAGCACACGTCTAAAATTCAGGACTGGTCCTGCTTGCACATATATTGTTCTCAAATTAACCATAAACCTCATATGTGAGGTTTTATCTTAAAACGCTTATGGAAACTTATTGAATAATTAAAATTGTGAATTATTGTTGTGCAAATTGGATTTTGGATCATACGCAATATTCCTTATGGATTGCATTGAGCCAAACTTCACCAGCAAAGCTTGCATCAAATTCAAAACAGTTCCGAAAACAAAAGGAAAAAGAAAAAGGAATCAAGAACTCATAATGTCATTAGCTATTTCTTTAATCCCAATAATATCACCAAACTTATCCAAAGCATCGAATTATATCAGCAAACTTAGAATGTATACGTGAAAAAGATAATACCAAAACCCCCACTTGATAGCCTTTGTAATTATAAACAAGAAAATCGTGCAGAAAAAGGTCAAGTTAATTGGGCTATATATATATACATCAACCTTTCATTGCTGAGGCATTGAAGGGGAAAGAAAAGAAGCCATGGATTTCTTAGGCAGCAAAAGGGTTTTAATCGTTCTTGTAATCCTTGTATCTGCTGCTATTCTGGTACAGAGTATGCAACCTCCAAATGGTAAGCAACCTCCGAAACCTCCAAACGGTCAGCAACCTCCAAAACCTCCAAACGGTAAGCAACCTTTGAAACCTCCACACGGTGAGCATCCTCTGAAACCTCCACATGGCGAACATCCTCCGCAACCACCAAACAGTAAGCAACCTCTGAAACCTCCAAACGGTGAGCATCCTCCGAAACCTCCAAATGGTGAGCATCCTCCGCAACCACCAATCAATAAGCAACCTCCGAAACCTCCAAGCGGCAACCAACCTCCGAAACCTCCAAATGGTAAGCAACCTCCAAAGCCTCCAAATATTAAAGTTTGCTATGCCAAGAAAAGCCCGTGCTTTGGGAAGCAGGTACAATGCCCACAGGAATGTCCATCCGGTTCACCGACAGACAAAATGGCTAAAATGTGCTATCTCAACTGTGAATCTCCTATATGCAAAGCTGAGTGCAAAAGTAAGGCTACTAGACTTATCTTTTTACAATGTTTTCACTCTTTGTTTTCTTTTTATTTCAAACGTACCTAGGTAACTTAAAATCCTTGCTGACAATGTTCTTTTATTGTTGATGGTAATCGTAGGTCCCAAGCCTAATTGTAATGGCCCTGGATCAGCATGTCAGGACCCTCGCTTCATTGGTGGAGACGGCATTGTCTTTTACTTCCACGGCAAGAAAAATGAGTACTTCAGCTTAGTTTCTGATCCCAACCTCCAAATCAATGCCCGGTTCATTGGCATCCGCCTTGAAGGCCGAGCCAAGGACAACACTTGGATTCAGGCCCTTGGACTCCTCTTTGACTCCAAAAGCTTCTCCCTAGAGGCCAGCAAAGCATCAACATGGGTTGATGAAATCAACCACTTGAAATTCACATACAACGGAGAGGAGCTAATCATCGCTGAATCTCATCTCTCCACATGGGAATCTCCGGACAATGCCATTATAGTGGAGAGAACATCAAGCAAGAACAGTGTCTTGGTAATTCTACTGGGAGTTGCTGAAATTTCAGTAAATGTGGTGCCTGTGACAAAGGAAGATGATAGGATCCACAATTATCAGTTACCGTCAGATGACTGTTTTGCTCACCTGGAAGTACAGTTCAGATTCTACGACTTATCCTCAAACGTTGAAGGAGTGCTCGGAAGGACTTACCAGCCAGATTTCAAGAACCCGGCAAAGCCAGGAATAGCTATGCCAGTGTTGGGAGGTGAACACAAGTACAGAACAACATCACTCTTCTCTGCAGATTGCACTGCCTGTGTGTTCACTCAACCCAGTGAGCTGGATCAGACAGATTCAAGGGTGATGGATTACGGAATGCTTGACTGCACAGGTAATTCCTTCGGGGGAAATGGAATAGTTTGCAGGAAATAACTGATAAGTCACAAGCTCATGGAATAAGTGAAGGTTTTAAACTTCTCAGATGATAATTTAAAGTAGAGGTCGCACTTGGTGCGATGGCAAGTGCCTTCGCCCATGAGCGGTAGGTCTCGGGTTCGAGACTTGGGAGCAGCCTCTCCATAAATGGGGGTAAGGCTAGCCGACATTCACCTCTCCCAGACCCTGCGTAAAGCGGGAGCCTTGTGCACTGGGTACGACCTTTAGATGATAATTTAAAGCTGTGTGGTCAAGAGGTTTGGGACATAATCCACCTCTTAGTGTTTTTCGTTTTCGTTTGTGTCAATTGTGAATTTCCAGACTTTATTTCTTCAGACAATTTGGCTTTTAAATGTAGCCGTTTATTTTAAATTTTGTACTCATGTAAAAGATAAAAGTATGCAGTTTATCGAAAAAAATTTAGTTTCATGCTTATCACAAGGAACTACCTTCAGAAAGCAAAAACTCACTTGCAATCTCATATCATGTATGCTAACTCAGATGTAGCAATGCAGATAACTCTAATTGTTTGGTTTAGAGTTATAAAGGCCTAAACACTATATAAACAAAGTCCTGCATGTCAAGGACTAAAACAAAATTGTTTGATTTATTTTCTTCCCCTTTTTAGATCTGCTCAGCAAACCCAACAAACAAATTCTTGTCCATTACATAACTAGAAGAATTTAACCAGATTTCCTAAAAGTTTTATGAGAGTATTCCAGATCGTTTTGTAGCCATTTCATAGATAATCTTTGAGGATGGTTTCAGTGTTTTCTCCAGGAACAAGACTCTGATAACAATGCGGAAAAAAGTAACTGTATCAGAAATACTAATCGAAGGAAAGGAAATATTTATGAGGGTTGTAACTTGTAACTTGCAAGTAAGAAATACGCTACAGATGTCACAAACTCTGCTTATTTTTCTATTTCTTATGAACAATGAGATTGTACGTAAATACAATGACATCAATTATACTTTAGAAGCATGGGAAGCTCTGAAACCCAGATGCATTTATATATCAAGACAACAACCAAATCCTTTGGCACCTTAGCTGCAATTTTTTATGGATTTTGATTGGCACCCACCATAACTATATTACAAATAAATCGTGATACGAAAAATTGAGGTAATAAACTAGAATAATGAACTATGAAAAACCTTTTCTCTCGCTGTGGCCAGGATGACCAATATCTTTTAAGGGGGCATTAGGGAACAAGATTCATTTAGGCAAAGCCTCAAAAGGATCTGTCACCTCATCTTCCGCGAGGATTAACAAGCTGAGAAAACACAGCACTTGTGGCAGCATCTTCTGTGTCATCATCTGTGCCGGAGTGTCCCCCATCGATCATGCTCACACTGTTATCAAACGGCTCTCCTTGGGTTAATTGGATACCAGGTATGTGGTTTGTGCTGTTATCGTCAGGTTCCATGAGTGCAGATGATGTCTCCTCGAGCTGAAAAGCATATTCAAGATTCCACAAGACATCTCCCATTGATGGCCTGTCAACACCATACTCCGCGAGGCACTTCTCAGCTGTCTCCCCGAACTTCTTAAGAGAAGCTGGATTTACCTTCCCTGCCAGATTTGGGTCCATGATTTGGTCTAGCATGCCCTTCTTCTGCCATGTCATTGCCCATTCTGCTATGTTGACCTGCTCCCTTGGAAGAACAGGATTTAAAGCAGGTCTTGTGCACAGAACTTCCATTAGAACTACCCCGAACGAATACACATCAGATTTCTCAGTGAGTTGTTGCCTTCGGAAGTATTCAGGATCAAGGTAACCGAAACTACCCTTAACAGCTGTACTCACATGGGTCTGATCAAGAGCTGGTCCTGCTTTGAGAGGCCAAAATCAGCAACTTTGGCTACAAAGTTCTCATCCAAGAGAATGTTGGTTGTCTTCACATCTCGGTGAATTATGCTTTGAGCTGCACCAGTGTGGAGATAATGGAGCCCTCTTGCAGCCCCAATGCAAATTTCAAGGCGTAGCTTCCATGAGAGCGTTGGCAGGTCTGTTCCATACAAATGGCTCCTGAGGGGTCCATTGGCCATGTACTCATAGACAAGAATCATTTCTGATCTTTCATCACAGTAGCCAATAAGAGACACAAGGTGGCGGTGGCGGAGCTTGGATAACATTTCAATCTCAGTTCGGAATTCAGCCAGACCTTGTTCGGATCTGGGATTTCCCCTTTTGACAGCTACTTTAGTCCCATCTTCAAGTGTTCCCTTGTAAACCCTGCCAAAACCACCAACGCCAAGAAGTAGGCTCTCATCAAACTTGTTGGTTGCATCCAGGATTTCCTGGAACATGAAGAATTTGCCAAGATTGGAGGAAGCTAATGAAATGCAGCTAGCTGTTCCACTCTTTTGTGAAGTTGTCGACATTTTTGTCATGGTCTGAGAATTTCCATGCAAGGGCAAGGGCAGCCATGTCGCTTGGTTAGTTGTCTTCGACTTGCGGGATGCCAAGCAGCAATAAAGGAAACCAATAATTGCCACAACAGCAACAGATCCCACAACAGAGCCAACTATGATTCCTATATTATTCTTCTTTGAGGATGAACTAGGAAGAAAATTCCCCACGGATTGAGACCCATCCAAACTCCCCAACTCATTGCTGATCTTCATAATCTCCAACCCATTCAGAATTGCATTGGTGGTATCAGCCATTGAATCTGGACCAACACTGACGGTCAAAGTATCTGCACCTTCTGTGGAGTTGGAAACAAAGTCTTTGTAATAAGGCACGCCCAAGTCACCAGTAATGGAAGAGAGGTCAAGACTCCCAAGCACATTGTCAGAATTTATGAAAACATTGAAAACGAGACTATTCAGAGCTTTGCTAACAATATCACAGAAATGTACCCGAACAAGATACATGAAATTTGGATCTACTGTAAAGACCCAAGTTATGTTGAAGTTCACATTGGGCACGTTTGCATTTCCCATGGCTTCAGCAGTGGCATAGACCCAGTTTGGGGCAATTTCGGGTGTGACAGCCTGTGGATATTTTATGTTTGCAGGGTTCACTGATACATTCACTGCAGAACTGTCCACATGGAGGTACTTCATGTCATTCTCCCAAGTTCTTCCAAGGGTATCATTTTGAGATGTGAGCAAAGGACCCCCCATGTTTAACCTGTAAACTGTTTGAAGGGCTAGCTCAGAAAGTCCACTAAAAGGAGCAGATGGATTCACAGCATATGCCTGGTCAGGAAGCAGTGCATCCGGGATAGAAACTACTTCAATTGCATTAACAAAAGCAACTGAATTGTTTGAAGGAATGAAGTTAAGAGTCAAGGTATCCAAAGTTACATTAATTGCATACTCCTTGAACAGATAAGAACCATTATAGTTCTTGAAGGTGAAGTTGTTCAAGAGTACAAAATTATCAGTAACTACAGTTATTTGAGCAGACTCCAAATCTTGGCCAGGGCTTGTAAGAGGGAAAAAATAAAGGCGGACCCAATGTCGGCCTTCTTGCTGGATTTTGAATTTGTAAGAAGCTGCTCCCTTGAGAACTCGAGCAGATTGGTAAAGTGGAGAAGGGGCATTAGCATTGGGGCTAGCAACTAAGGAATTTGCACTTTTTAGTACAAGGGAAGATTGTTGTGTATCAGGAACAAAGGTACGACCTTGGAATGTGACATTTTTCGAAGAACCGCAGACAATTAGGTAGTTATCGACAGCCGTGAATGAAGCAGATGACCTATAACTCATGAACACAACAACAGCAAGAATCAAAGCTACCCAATTTACTAGTTTCATCCTTAACATACCTAACAAACCAGATCTTCAATGGCAAATGAGACTAAAACAATCAACTCAAGATTTTAAAACTCCAATCCCACAAAACCCAATTCACCAAAAACAAGTTCTTACAATCCCAAATGTCAAAACCCAAAACCCCAATCCTCCAACGAAACAAAACTCACAACCCAAAATTTCAACTACCCCAGATCTGTCCAACTCAATACACAAAAACCCAATTGAAAACCAAGTAGTACAGTCCCAGCATTATCAAACTAGGCAAAAACATAAACATTGCTCATATCATATGCAGAGCAAAGTACCACTTTCCCCACCAACTTCACCAACACAAAAATACACAAAAATTTGTGCTTTTACCTCAATGGAAGTGAAAAATGGGAACGATATGCAGCAGAGTGAATTGGGTCAGCGCCAAAGAGAAAACCCAGTTGAGAGAGATACTACGTGAACCCCACCATGAAAACCCATCAAGCTTCTGCCTTTATAGTGCGGTTGTAACCATTAACCACCCTTTCCAGGCTGTTGATTAGGCTGTCATATGCAGTACCCAAATACAAAGAGGACCCCACAAAGAGGAAAAGGAATTGGATGTGAAAACTTGAAATTTTCAAAACTTTATGTTCCTCCACGAAACCAGCTGTTTTAATAGATAATTGTGGTTTGATATGATGCTCAGAACCTTAGGAAAGTTTGGAATATAATGCAATAGAAAAAGCCATGGAAGTTCTGTAACTGAGGGTGAGCGGAGGCTTGCTATTATTATTGTTGTTCTTTTTTTGTTTTTGTAGGGTTCATGAACATGGAAGGGATTTCATACCTATTTTCTATTTTGTTTTTTATTAACATAATATTCAATAAGATTTGAACAGAATGGTTGATGTGCTGGGACCAAGAGGCTCTGGGACCACCATTCTACCCGGCTTTGAGATGGAAGAGGTGGCGGTGTGTAGCGTTGAAACAAGTCCACTCGACTGTTTGCAAAGCCTGCTTTTAAGGTCTTTTTTACAAGGATTTAAGTTTCGATTTAGCAGAGAGATTGGTAGTTTCGATTTAATTGAGCTATCGATGGTTCAAATTCAGTGAAATATTTGTGAAAGTTTTGAGTGCAAAGTATAAAATGATTGTGGTAATTTTTATCACAAAGGCCGTGTTTGGCATGCCGGATAACACACCGGATAGTACTATTTAATACTATCTGGTGTTTGGTGTCATTTCGTATTAAATAAGTATCGGATTATTTATGCGGTCTGACCTATTTTATACGACGTACGCCGGATAACTTATACACTCCAAATCGTCGGTATTAATTAGTCGGGTCGTTGAAAACAAAATCAAGCTAGCTCTTTTTCCATCTCTCTTGCTAGTTTTAAATTGTGAAACTCAGTGTTATAAATGTTCTTCAATCTCCTTTTGAGGAAGTAAATGAACATGATAATCTTTGATGAATTGAGTTTTTAATCCGGTACTACATCAAATGTCCGATTAAATAGTCAGTACGCTCGACGAAATAGTCAGTACTATCCGATGACAAATTATTCTATCCAACTGAAATAGTCAATACAATATGAGTTGCCAAACGAGGCCTGGTATAAAGACAGGTTTGTTTGGAGAAGCCATTTTTGACGGACTTACTGAATGAATCTTCGAACAAAAGATATGC